GGTGACAGCCTCCCAGCGTTGAACCTCCGCCTTCCAGTCGGCGTTCGACATGCCCGGTGGTTTTGCCGGCGGCGCCCTTGGTTTCCTATGCTTCGGCTGGGAGGCGTCTGCAATGGCAGCGTCGCGAGGGGCCGTATACTTCTTCAGCGGCATGGCGGGATGGCGGCGAGAGGGAGGAGAATGGCAGGAGAATGGGCAGAAGGGTTGCCTCTCGCCGACAGAGCGGACCCACGCGCCTTTTTGCTTCGGCCGGCGCCCCCAGGCGGCCCCCGGGGGCTTGGGTTTGGCTCGGGTTCACCGGCTGTTATTTCGGCCAAAATCGGCGATAAACAAGGTCTTGAGGGCGCGACTGGCCCAATTTTTTGGCGCCGACGCTAAAAAAGAGCCCTGGGGGCATGTTGGGGGGCGAGTGGAGATGCTCTAAGATCCATCTAGATGTAGTCACGTCATGATTGAATAACTTGTATGTAGTAAGTGCTGCTATGAGAAATTTGACAAATGTAACTGAACACTGTATGATGTGAATATGAACATAGTCCAGTGCAGCTTCAAGTTGTTACTGCTACCTTCGTTGAGCTTGTTGATGAAGATCGTAGGTAATCTCTATACTGCTGCTATTTTAGCTGCTGTATGACCGCCATTAAATAAACTGGACTAGTTGGGACTCATCAGCCTATTTTGTAACTATGAATCATGGAATGAACTTAATTTGCCGATGAAAAAATCCGAGGCACCGGGGGCAGCAATGGACCGCGACAGGGCAGGCTGCGGAGCTAAATCCTATTTGGCGCCTTTAGCGCCCGCTACAGTTGTTTCTACTAACGGGCGCATACCCCCCTTGTCACGTTGGGCCGGCCCATTTTCGAATTTTTTTCTGTGTTCTAAACTGCAAAAACAACGCGAGAACTGGGTTTCAAACCGTGACCGGCAAGTACCGAGCGCAAGGCGACATCCACCAGGCCAGTTCAGTTGGTATGATTATGTACATGTTTCCTTTCTTTTCTTCTTCTTCTTCCTCTTTTTCTTTTTTTTTTCTTTTTTAAAATTAGTGAAACTTTTCTTTCTTCATGAGTTTTTCCTCTGCAAAATAGATGGAGTTTTTCTCGAATTTGATGAGTTTGTGAAAATTCGATGAACTTTTTTTCAAATCTGATGAACCTTTTAAAAATTCAATGACCTTTTTTCAAATTTGATGAACTTTTATCAAATTCAATGAACTTTTTTCAAAATTGATGAACTTATTTTTAAATTCTGTGATTTTTTTGAAAAACAATGACCTTTTTTCAAATTCGACGACCTTTTTTCAAATTCGATGAACTTTTTTGAAAACCGGTGAACTTTTTTCTAATTCGGTGAAATTTTTTCCAAATCCGATGAACTTTTTTCAAATGTAATGAACTTTATTTCAAATCCGATGGTCTTTTTTTCAAATTCGATCAACTTTTTCAATTTTTGCGTTCAAAATTGATGAACTTTTTTAGAATTGATGAACTTTGTAAAATTCGTGAAATGTTTTTAAAATTCGTAATTTTTCAGATCCATGTGCTTTCAGTTTTGTGAACGAAGGGACGAACAGAAAAAAAAAGAACGAACGAACGAAACGTGCACGAAGGAAGGGAAGGAGCGAGCGATGGAGAACGGAAAATATGAGTGTGCTAGCTGGGCCGGCCCATGAGAGGCTGCTGCGCGAGCGCCCGCTAGCGAACGGGCGCATAAGGGTGTGTTTGGTAGCCTGCGTGTAGGGTGCATGAGGCTAAAAGTTTCCTACCCAACCCACTTTCAGGTGTTTGGCAGGGTGTATGGGCTCTTCTGGGCATAGCCCATCTGATGCTAAAAAGGCCCCAAGCTATGCTCGTTGGAGCACCCACATACATGCGAGCTGGGGTCAGCGAGGCTCGGTTAGACCCCCGCAAAAATCTCCTCCCGACCCACTAGGATCGAACGACCTCTCTCCCGAACTGTTTTTCCTCTCGCTCGGACCACCCCTCCCTGACCTAGCCGCCACCCCTCGCCCCCCTCTCTCTCCCACGAACTCCATGGCGACTGCCACCTGATCTGCATCCCCGTCGGCCCCCTTTGATCTTGTACCTCGCCGCCGTCACCGCCACCCCGGTCAACCTCGCCGCCGCCCCGGTCAACCTCGCCGCCGCCCTGGTCTTCAAGTCGCGGCCGCCCCAGGTGAATCTCGCGGCTGCCAGGAGAGGTAGCTACTCTGCCTCCTTCTCCCTCTGCCCTCCTCACCCCTTCCTTCCTGCCTCGGCCTCTGCGAGCCGCTGCTGTGTGACCAGGGACGAGCCGCTGCTGCGTGACCATAGATTAGGCCTTTTTTCTGTACAGAGAGCTCTTCTTCATATAGCCGTATATGGGTTAGACAAAAAATTGCTTCTCTGTTCCCTTATGATGATGGGTTAAACTGATTATAGTAGATGTATAACTTTTCATTGCTGTACCTATTATGCTCATATTGAAGTTTGTTCATTGCTTGTCATGCTAAAAAAAATCCGTTGTGCTAAGTTTCGATTTATTTGTATTGTCATAGATGGATGAATTGGCAAGAAAACGAAGGCAATTAATTGTGAGAGGAGCCGGTCTAGTGGCTGGATTGTATGCATACAAGATGCTCATGTTTAGAGGAGCTAGGCAACAAACAGCGAGGATAACCGTGGGCAGCATGGCCGATCGTGCCATATCTAGATAGTCAAATTTGAGATATATTTATCACTCTAGTGACATAAATTGTTCAAATCAATTAAGGATGAGAAAAGCTCCTTTTTCGTTTGTGTGCTATATTTAGAGAGAGAAATTTGTTGTTGGATAGCATCCATACTTCTATCGAGGAACAAGTAGCCATGTTTCTTCTAGTAGTTGGCCACAACCAAAGGTATAGGACACTTCAACCGGTCTTTAGAAGATCTATCGAAGTCATTAGTAGGTATTTTAAGGCAGTGCTTTATGCTATTGGGGAGTTGAGAGATGAGATGATTCGGCCTCCCTGCAACCATTGTCATCATAAAATACAAGAAAGCACTCGCTTCAATCCATATTCCAAGGTAATTATTTTTGCAAACAAATACAAACAATCAATGGGATTTTGAATAACAATCATTTGCCTTTTTTAATTAGGATTATGTTGGAGCAATTGATGGGACTCATGTGCTTGCTAGAGTCCCAAAAAGTATCTCAGCTGCCTTTAGGGGTAGAAAGGTGGGGACTACCCAAAATGTCATGGCTGCGGTAGACTTTGATCTAAAGTTTACCTATGTACTTGCGGGTTGGGAGGGATCAGCTCATGATGCCCTTATACTTGCAAATGCATTGGAGAGGGAAGATGGGTTGAAAGTTCCTACAGGTAATAAACTAGGGCCTACTACCTAAATATATTAATATTTCTACCCATAGCTAATAGTTGCTATTTCATAGGAAAATTCTTCCTTGTTGATGCGGGGTATGCTGTGAGGCCGGGTTTTCTTCCACCATACCATGGCACGAGGTACCACTTGAAAGAGTATGGACGAGGGAACCATCCTCAAAATGCTAAAGAGTTGTTCAACTTAAGGCACTATTCTTTGACGACAACGGTTGAAAGGGCTTTTGCCACATACAAAAACCGTTGGATGTTTGTCTACAATAAGCCGTTCCATGGTTACAAGACCCAAGTAAAAGTAGTGCTAGCTTGTGCAATTCTTCACAATTGGGTACTTCAATATGGTGAGGATGAGTATTTCCTACCTGAGGAAACATGGGATCCGGAACCCAATGATGAAGATCACAATGATATTGTCTATGACAATATTTCTTGGGCTCATAAGAGAGATGAATTTGCAAATCAGATGTGGGCGAATAGAGGGCTAGCAAACATTTGATGTATCATGTGTCCTGGTGTTGTAAAACTATTACTGTACTGTTATATTTATGTGCTAAAACATGATTTTGATGGGCTGAAATATGCTTATTTATGTGCTGAAACGTGTTTTTGTGTGCTGGAATTCATATTTATGAGCTGAAACATGATTGTGAGCTGCTGAAATATGCTTTTTATGTGCTGAAACGTGTTTTTGTGTGCTGGACTTCATGTTTATGATCTAAAACATGATTTTGAGCTGCTGAATTATGCTTATTTATGTGTTGAAATATGTTATTAACTTCTGGATTGTCTATGTTGTAGATGGATGATGAGGTGCAGGAGGTTCCAAGTGTTGGTGCTCTTCCCAAGAAGGCCCCCAAGGTCATGAATTGGACTCCTCCTATGTCGGCGTTGATGTTGAAAGGCCTTTCAGAGGTGGCGGCAAGAGGTGCCAAGACTGACAAAGGATTCAAAGAGGTTGAAAAATTGAAAGTTGCAAAGCGTATATCTTCTTTCATTGGTTATGACGTGTCTATTACGCAAGTGCACAATCATATTCGCAAGTGGAGAAATAGGTGGACAAGGCTTGTCTATTTGAAGGCTTTAAGTGGGGCACTTTGGGATGATGACAAGAAGATGGTAGTGCTAGAAGAACAACACTATTTGGGCCGCACTCAGGTATGCATGTCCATGTACCAGCCTTTTTTGAATGCTGAAATGAGTTATCTTAGTGCTTAAAGAGTGTTAAAATGATATAGTTTTGCCAAAAATAATGATGTTTCATAGCTGAAATGATGTCTCAGTTAATTATTTTTGTTCAAATGGTGCTGCAGGATCATCCAGCAGATGCTGAATTGCTCAATTCTCCAGTGGAGAACTACGACTATATGGAACTTTGCTTTGCTAATAAGCATGCCACTGGGAAATATGCAATGGGCCCCGGTGTGCCCCTAGGAACGCCTATTGTTGTGGAAGACAAGGATAAACCGAATGTCATGGAGGGGAAGAAACAACGGATGAGGTATTGCAACATCTTCCTGGATCTAACTTTGTACTTCCTACTGCTAGTGCCACTCAGGACCCTTCTCCTACTTCAAATAAGAAGAGAAAGAGGGCATTTGGCTTGACAGAGGAGGACTCAATCCAGTGTAGCAACATGACTGATGTTATGCGTGAGATTGCAAGTGCTATCAACAACACTTGCCATGCTGAAACACACCCTGACTTGTACAAGGCTGTCATGGACCTTCTTGTGTTTAATCAAGATGAGCGCTTGGCTGTTTTAGATTATCTCACAGAACATAAGGCAAAAGGCCTTAACTTTGTGAAGATGGATGATGAAGTCCGAAAAGCATCGTTCAAGCGAATCTTGAAAGCCAATCCTGGTCTTCTTTGAGTTGTTGTTAGTTGGTGCTTGATGAGACTGTCCCTTTTGTAATGCCTATTATAAAGTGTACTTCAAATGAGACTATGTAATATGAATCTAGTGATGCACTGCTACGAATTATGGTTATTATTCTTATGTAATATGAATCTAGTGATGCACTGCTTCAAATCAAGGTTATCATGTGTTATGTTAATTGTTGATTATTTTATTTATATTAGCATTGTTCAAATTATGTTGGCGTGGTAACATTTTATTGCTCGAATTGTTCCATGAATTGTCGAAATGTTGTTTCAATATTTGTCTTGGTTTAAAAAAATCATTCATGCATCATACCTCAGATACAGGCTACCAAACACAGTCTCTGTGCAACATGTCTCGTCTGATGCAGCCTACCAAACACAGTCTCAGCTCAGCATGCATCAGTACATACATTGCTACCAAACAACTGCAGTTGCATGTACTGAGCATGTCTAGACTAAGCATGTCTCAAATGGGAACAACTATGCTAGGCTGGGAACAGCTACCAAACACACCCTAAGGCGCCGTAGAGGAGCACTCGGCTGCGGCCTGGTGGAGGGCCACGTCTCCTGATGGGAGCAGCATGGATCACGAGCGAAGATGTAGTAATTGACCAGGACAAAACATAAATCACAAGGATATAATGTCTTGCCTAAAACCAGATACACTGCACAATATGATCACACAAATAACTTCAGTGCAACAAACAGAGTAGATATATGACCTTCATTTTTTAGTGGAGCAAGGTTAGAATGACATTAATTTCGTAACAGTACTAAAAAAATCAGGATATAACATATTAGCTCTATCATCATAAAGGGGCATTGCACTGTGTTGGATGAATGGAAAGGAGCTCTAGATACTACCCTTGAGATTTGCTAGAATGAACAGCAAGTTGGAGTAATGAGAGAAAAAACAATTTATAATCCCTAACTTCACATAATAGTCGGTGAGATGGAAAACAAACCTACACAGCATCAACGACTAATCTAGGTAGCTTAGCTTATTAAGCCAAAGCCGTGGAGGAAAAACAAGAATATCCAAACAAGAAGATGAAAACAATCTGGGGCATTCCACCATGATGATGCCGTTGTTGGGTTGCTGCTAGATCAAGGGGAACCACGAGGAACAGCAATATGCATCATTTGGTTACCGTTTCTCGAACTATTCTTAACGTGTTCCCGGACTACTAGCTCAGATGACTGTCTTGCACTACTTACTCAGATTTCTGTTGCCTCCCAATCACACGCTGCGTAGCCATGTAGTAATATATGATTGGCCTACTCATCTATAGTGACTCAAATCATGCAGCAAGGCAATGCCCACAACCACCCGAATATAGGAGAAGCTGCCTAGCCCGGCCAAAACAAGTAGTGCATGGGAACGTCACAGACGACACCAAATTTATAATGGCAACGATGGACAGCCACGTACTACTTGAATCACCCACCTACGTTCTGCATGTGACTAGCTTCCTTGATTCGTTTAGCTACAATTTAAGCCTCAATAGAAATAATGGCACTTTCAGTTTGAATTAAGTTGCAGCAAGAGAAATAAGCTAGTGTATTATTTAAGGCGATGATACTCTCTCCTGTTCGCAAAGCACAATTTTTTTCCGCACAAAAGTCCTGTCCAACATTTAAAACATTGGCCACCGTTTTGTAAATTATTTTGTGATGATGTGCACTAGAGCAAATATGAGATTTGGAGTTGGTTGACCGTCCGTTTCCAGTGAAATAGTTTCAGTCGACACTACGATGCTCGTAATTAACTCCCATGGTTTTAAATATGATATTG